CATTTCATCTACAACATATCTGCACCCACATCATCCGATATGATTTTTCAAATCATGAAAACATTGGCAATCACATTGTATCAAAACCTTGCAAAAAATAAAACTGCCTTATTCTATGATTAATTCAACAAAACTATTGTTTAAGAGTACCTTTTCTGAACAATTACTTCAGTTTTCAAAAGAAGACTCTTACTTAGTATTAATTTTAACTTAGTAAATTAAAGGTATGTAGTGCTTAGATAGAAAATGCTGCAGGTCATTCTTCCTCCAATTTGATGAAGGCCTTTTCACTTTCTAAAAAATTGAAAATGACCAAAGGATGTTTAAATATTTCAGTTATATTCAAAGACAATATGTAATTTCATTCTCTCTATAAATACATATAAAATATTCTACTGGCAAAGTTGATGTTCTCTAAGAAAAATTATATTACTGATATAACTAAAATCATTGAACACCATTGAATGTAATAAACTTTCTATTCCACTCTTTTAAGTGAAACTTCAATTTTCACCCCTGAGTAGTTTTAATACTCGTTTTATAATTGGGTATTTTTATAAATGAATAAATGTATTATTTGAATGAATATTTTTCACATTTCTAAAAAACAATTGATTGATTGTCACTCACCAGCACAGATTGATCAGGTGCATTGTCCATTACTATAACTGATGGTTCTGCTAATCAAGGTAATAAATCTTCTTTCATCCACTTTTGGAACATGTCTGCTGCCATAGTTCTATGATATTCATCTACTTCTTTTGTCTTTGATGGAAACAATAGTTCTGCATCTTCGATGAAACCATTTGCACCTCCTGTATGTAAGACTATACATCTTTTACCTTCATCTAAATGTTTGCTTGAGCAACTTTCATTTTTATCATGCCATGACCGAGAGGCATAACCTAAAGGATAGATTGTTAAAAACAATTAGTAAAGATCTACTGAAATAAAATCATATTGAACCACTATGTTGGTGCTTCAAACTGGACAAACAATATTCATCATACACATAAGTCATTACACACACTGCTATTTCTTAAAAGATGCATTTCATTACATGCAAAAATGCCTTCTCCATTCCCTTATATCTAGAATTTCATAATTTTCAACACTACAAAATTTAGTAGATTTTTTGCTTGCCTTTTTAATAAAACCAAGTTTCATCCAAAACCACAAATTAATAACCTTCAGCCTTCAGTTTCATATATTTCATCAAAAAGATCTTTCAATAACTATTACAATTTCTTTCCATGCAAATATAAATAAATTACTTACCATTCTTGTACATTGAATAAATAATGCGCCTAATCAAGCCCTGTCCAAAATCATCCACTACACGTGTTTTGTTCCCTTTTATTCCTGGACACTCCTTTCTGGAGTCTAAGCACTATCAGGGTGTTGCTTCCAATATCTGTAAAATTAAATTCAACATTATCCAAAACAGTTTCACCTGACCCATTATTGACATTTTATTGACTTTGATATGACACTTTATTGACATTTTATTGACTTTTATATGACACTTTATTATGATTTTACTTACTTTTGAACAATGTGAGTTTTCAGCCTCTATTCATGGGCAGTTTTGTCAATAGCTGAAGAAGTTTCTATATTGCCTCGCATCATCAGCTCTTCCACAAATCTTGCAATAAATAAGATGTCTTCTTGGCACTGATGCTGTGTCACTTCTCCTTTCTGCGGTGGACTCATTGCTAAAGTTGCTTAAAAGCTATTGATATTCATCATAAACTACATTAAATATTTACAAAAATAAATATCTACTATAAGAAATAAAGTAATTAAAATGCAAGTAATTACAAATTAAATATTTTATAAATAGCCATTATTAATGCTATTAAATTGTTAATTTAACTTATTTGTATAATAATGTTACTTCTAATATTTCAATGAATTAAATATAATATAAATATTAAATAAATAATGGAAATTCTCCGAAATATGTGGAGTGAAATCGTTCATGTGTTCTCTCCCCTGTGTCGACGATCTCACAAAGGTTCAACAGGCTGAGGAGAAGGGCTTGGCCAGCGCGCCTCTCTGGGGGTGCCAGGCCAAAATACACAAAACAGTCATAAACACGCCTGTCCTTGAAACTTGAGCAGCCCGGGGCCTGCCATCATAAGAGAAGCCCTGTTAGCTGCACCTCTCTTTGCTGCAGAGAATTCTCCAAATTCTAACTGAACACAGTATGCGTAAATTATCAACTTTTAAAAATAGTAACCTTGAATATAGTTTCAGAATTCTTCAACGATGTTTTATCACTAAGATAAAATATTTTTCATTGAACTTTCTCCTTTGTCGGAATGACACTACATTAGGTTGTGCCACAGTGCCACAACACGTTAGCCAACGTTTGTAAAATGAAATCGAATCATTTCTGTATGTTAATCACTGGGCCATGCCTCCAGGCATGATCCATGTGGTATGGCATCAGTGGCTGTCAAAAAAAATGGTCACATGACTGAACGCTCTGTACTGCACACTATTGATTTTTTCAAGTACAACCACAAACATTAGTATTTCATATGGGATCTTTTATTATTTATCACGTTTTCAGTCTTTGTAACATGCTTTTCACCGGTTTAATACTCTAGCTTTTAATTGTCGCAGTTCTACTTTAATCTATTTTCTTAATCAACTAATGTTTGGTTGAATTGTTCTTCTTTTCTAGCATATCCTTTATGAAGCTTCTAGTTTTTCATGTGGTTCTTGTGAGGGTTGTTCCCTGACAGTGTAGGTATGCTAATATTTCCCAGGAAAAAATTTTTTTGACAGTTTTAGCGTGGCAAAGTATGTAATGATGCCTAAGCACATGCAGTTTACCATTAAGCTAGGTTTCTGTTCAGTAGTTCTTCTTAAAGGAACTTCAAAGTATTGGTCTTGTTTTATCTTCTGTATCTTAATGTAATCTCTGTGACCCATGCAAGGCATTGCACCCCATACTGAAAATGTTATTTTAAGCTACACATTCCAATCTGAAAGCCTAATCAAATAGTTCTCAAACATTATCTGGAATATTCATTAAATGTAGTGGAACTTAGTTGATCACTAAAACAGGCTTTCTTCCGGTCTTTACACATCCATTGTTTCAGGACCTATGCCCAGTTGGCATGTACTTTACCATTGCAGGTGTAAATTTTACATTTTTGGGGTATTGTGTTCCCCCCCCCTCTCTCTCCCTCTCTCTCTCCCTCCCTCTCTCTCTCTCTCCCTCTCCCTCTCTCTCTCCCTCTCTCTCTCTCTCTC